TTTGGCGCCCTTAAAATAAGAGCTTTTATTTTTAACGAATGACTTTCCTTTTTTTTCTGTGAAGTAAGAAGAAGAAGAAAATTGTTTTATTTGCATTTGTAATTTTTTGTTAAGAAACCACAATTTGTAAAAGTATTTACTTAAACAAATAAACATTATTATTATTATTATTATTATTAGAGAAGGTCGGAGACGAAATACAAGAGGGAATGAGGGAATTTACCCGAAAAAACACTACAACGGGTGGATAAGGCTCAATGGCTGGTAACTAAGTATTCAAACACACTATAACTTCACAACTTATGGTGGACGAAATTCAGAAGATGATTGCAAAGGTTGGCAAAGAAGAGACTTAAACCCACTAAGGCCATGAGCGGTCCTACATGCCAGAAGTGCAAGGTCAAAAATACTGGCGGGACATCCTGTATATGATATTATTGATATTATTTCAATTTATGAAGTAAATCTGGGGCGTATTTACGAAATAATAACAGAGTTGGTTTGTTTCATTTGAATTTGTATTCAGTGTTTGTTTTTCCTTTAAGATTCGTTTTTAAATGCGTAATTCTTGTTTAAATATTATCGCTTTGTCATTATTCAATTTAGATAAGGTGTTAGAAGTAAGAGTCATCTGGTCAAATTTGCGCGTTTTATAAACGGTTACATCTGGTCGTTTTCGATAAGAAGTTTTATTGTTAGACGAAACCTAATTAGCGTAGGTGTTCTGGTGCTGATAACGAAGACGCAGGTGTTTCGAAGAATTACGCATTTCACGTTGGAGAACTGGGGACGTTTGCCGCGTTCCATCGTGATTAGCGATTTATTTGAAAATGCTTAAAGGGTTTATCTTATGGGGGAAGTTGTGTTTCTTTAAATACTGAAGACTAAAAAAACCGACACTGCCAGCTTCGTGACGGTTTAAGAGCGTTTACATTTGTCTACGCTAAATTCTCGGGCAGTCAGCCCTGTTTGTCTTATTGAACACGCAGTTCGTCATTTTTTATAATAAATTTGTGCAGAAACCAGTTAACCAAAGCGGTGTAAAAAGTATAACGCGTGTTCGATTACGGAAAAGTTTTGTCAAGTTGAAAAAGCAAGCAGTTAGGGGGGATTTTGGTCCGGGGTTATATAAATTTTATTTTCAAAACTAATTAACGGCAAAAAAGCAGCAAATTAAGCACCACTTACTTTTCCAATATAATTTTTTTTTCTAATGGAGTTCAACTTAGCGAGAAATCCGTTTTCGAGAAAAGTTTGAGAGCGGCAAGATTTTTATTTTAACAACTAATTAACGGCAAAAAAGCGGTATAGTCACCACCTATTTTTTTGAAAATGTATCGCTAAGGCTAAGTTGATGGACAACATACACGAAAACACTATTTGAGGAAAAATGCCTACAAAAGCGTTCGTTTCCTGCAGGGATGTATCTAAATATACCTACTTAAAATTTGCAGCCCCCAACCCGGGGTCCGGGGGTCCCTCCTCGGAAATTTTACAAAATTAAGGTGAAGGTTTAAACCTTTTTGATTCGAGAATTTCGCTTCTTTAAAAAAAAGTAAACTGTTGTGGTGGAATTTTATATTGCTTTTATTCCGTTTACTAACGTTTCCCCTACGTCTCGGGCGATAACCGCCTTCTTTTCCGGGGAGGATCTGTCGAGAGGAAGCCGAAAGGGCTGCTGTGACGCAAACGGATAACCTGCTTCGTGGTCGATGGAGGCGCCTGTTGATTCATTACCGTCATAAATGTGTCGGGAGTGCCGGTTCAAAGGGTACCGAGAGCTGATGTGGCCTCTTTGGTAAGGTAGACTTTCACAGCTCTACTCAGCTTCTTGATTGTTTCGACGCTGCTTATATTTCCATCAGTGGCTTAAAAGTTCTTATATTCAACAATGCTGTCTAGGAATTAATTATAACTATAAAATGGTTTATCTTTTTAGTAAAAAATCTTTTATTGTATTGGAAAATTTCTTATATAGCAGTAGTCTAATTTCCAAAGGAAGTGCAATTTTATTCCAGAGAATTGAACACTTTCTTCTGATTTGGACGTTTTGGTTAGTTGAATGCGCAGTATCCTAACATTTTTTTTGACGTGTGTCGTGATCATGCAGACTATTATGGACCACCCTATATATTTTGGAGTTTTTGAAAAGAGCGAAATGGTTATTAAAACAATTGCCGTGTTTCCCACAATTAAATAACTAAAAGATGATGATGTATAGGAATTTTTTTTGTTTCACGTAAATCATAAACAATAAGTTAGCGCGAATTGATAGACTTGCATAAAAGTGGATAACCTTATGAACAATTAGATCAGCCTCAAACTGAAGATAACGTGGTTCACCTGTATCTAACATTCCTACTTTGTCAGCTTTTACGAAATGTCCTTCTAGGGAAGTATCTGTTATGTTAAATAAGCACCTGATAATTTTTACATATATCCATATTAAATGCCGGTCCTTGACTAGTTTTTATCTGTCTTCGAGATTTTGGTTATGGTAGAAGTAGATCTGGTGAGTATTTGCTGATGTTTTAGCATGGGGCGGTTTGATCACTTACTTCATCACTAAGAAATATAATTTTTTCTGTCAGTTAAACACTTCTAGGTGGCCTAGTGGCAGTTTTAGTACGACGTTAATAAAAAAAAAGTGCCGAAAAAAGATCATGGTCTTTAATAAAAAAAACCTCATCTTTAAAAGATAAGTCATAGTTGCTCGCCCTACCTTTTATGCGAAAGGTACTTTCTCGCAACTTCAAAGTGATAGGTACCTCCCAAAAAACCTGATATGGTAATTTTCAAAACCAAAAAAGTTGTTATAATTTCTTCATGCGCCTCCAAATTAAGAGAGCGAGCCATAGAAACAAATGCTTGCATATTTTTCAAACTCGTCCAAGGAATTTTTCATTAATTCGATTCTTGGCAACCATAAGTCCATTATAGAAGAAATCTTACTCCAAGATGGAAGTGCAAATAAATCTCCGTTCCTTATGATACCCCTACTAATTAAATAATTTTTTCCTAGTGCCTCCCTGTATTCCTACACCACCCTTTCACGCCCTTTTCGTGACATATCCGGTTTTCTTCGCGTCTCTTTCTTCTCATAGTTTCACTTCATTCTTCCTCCCTCGAACTTTCTTTTTCTTTTCATTTCATGACTTCATAAACCCCGTACTGTCTTTTTTTCCTTTCGACTCCTTCGACCCCCTTCACTTTTTCTTCACTTCTCCATGCCTTTTCACTGCACCTCTACGTTTAGTTTTTTCAAGACCCATTTCCGCTTGCCTTTTCCACGCTTTTCCAGTTGATGTCTTTCCTCTAAACTTCTGCATTTCATCATGTCACATTCTTGCAAGTTTCTTCTTTTGAACAGTTGCTTTTCGCATTTCTTTTTAGCGCATTTTCCAACGAAGTTCGGGACGGTTTCCTAAAATATTTATAATGTTTTCCAGACTTTTTGGCATCTTGCTGAATTGTACTAGGCTTATATATTGGAAATTATTATTGCTTTCAAAATTCTCCAGAGGAAGCACTTAGAGGGATTTATATGACACTTAAAGCTATTCTAGGAATTTTGCCTCTATTCCAGATTTATATTATGTAGATTGTTTCGTCTGCTTTGCAAATCTTTCCTGGAACTTTCCAGAGTTTTCTGAATCCAGAGCTAGGCAAGCGTAGAACGTTCTAGAAATAACCAGAAAACTCTGGAAAGGCTGCTAAAAGTTGCGAGTGCGATAAAATGCTCTAATGCTCTTTGTAATGCTTTCAAAAAATTTCAAGCCTTTTTCCTAGGTCTGTCCTAGAACCAGGTGCGTCTAAATTGGTCTAGAAAAGGCTTACTATAGTCCTATAAGTGCTTTTGATGAGCATTCAGGTAAGGTTTTCTCCAGATCGGAAAGATTGTCCTAGGCTCGTTTTCTTTCTAGGCTCTTCCAAAGGTCTCTGGGTCTCTGGATTTGTTTTGCGGTTTTTATGCCATATTAGAACAATTCATGCCTTCTTAGGCTATGGAAAGAACAAGTAAAGCTCTAGAATGAAGCATTTCATTACCGCTGATCAGCATGACGCAATATACCTACAGTTTTCAGCGCTAGAGGCTAGAGAGCTGTGGAAATGGTCTCGACACAGTTGAAAAGGAATGAGTGCGATGGAAATGTGTTGGGAAGCATTTAGGGGGTCTTTTTTAAGTATGAAGTGTTTACAGTTTAAGTGTTATAGGTATAGGCGCTTAACTGCTCTTTTAAGCCCCCTTCAGTTTCCTCAAACTATATCTAATCCTTGTCAAATTCATGGATTCCTGAGTAGGCTTCTCTAAATTTTCGCATAGGTCTCTATCAACGTCCTCAAGTTGTTCTCCAAGCCGCTCGACAAAGAGAATGTGGTAGCCCGCGATAAGATCTTATTGATGGTGGAGTCAAAACTGGCTAACAAAATCTACCACACAAGAATGCGCTGAAGTTCCCTCAATCTCACTCAAGGAATTTGATAATTTTGTACCTTTACAGATGTGAAATGCATAAGCATCTTTGAGGTAGCAAAAATGGCACATTGAAGAGGTAAGTACATACTCAACCAATTGTTTATAAAAAAAAACTTCCTCATTGCAGCTACTCCTATCTATGAGGTTTGCTGCAGTTTCCATTCCAATCTGATGTACAGTTGTTCCGTTGAATTTCTTCATTCTTCTGCATGTATTTTTGTTATAGTATAGAAAAGGACAATATACCTAATTTTAGTATTAGTTTTACTATTATATATCTATTATAAATAAGTAGTACGATTATGGAATGCTGAACTTACATGAAAGCAAAGTGCTGTAGTAGTTGTTAAATGGAGCAATAAATAAATAACATATACACAATTATCTATTATTTACAATATTGTTTTGACCTTCATAAGTAGAGGGAGGTAAGTATATGTAATACATGCAACAGACATACGATAGGAAGGAGGTACACCAGATAAATTTATCACCACTGTGTTCATTCTTTTAGTTACTTTGACTGATAGCATCATTAAAGTCATCGCTACTATCAATAATATTCAGTCTTATATAAACAACCAATTCACCGATATGAATTTGTGCATGAAAATTGTTGTTTCAATAATGATTGTAAGCGACTTGAGTTTTTCTCTTCAAATTCGTAACTTGGGAGGAACGTGGATTGTCGAAAATATCCAAAAAGGTATGGAAAAGGTCGAGACTAGCTCGAACTAAAGTCCACTGTATAGGCTTCAATTTTAATGGAACGGTACCAGGTGGTATTTATAGTGACTTAATGCTCAATAATATAATTGGTGACATCTTTTACGAATCTGAGGACACTAAAGCTCGATGGGTATCAATGCTGGATTGGAATTATTCTAGAACCTTCTCCGGTAATTTTCAGACCTTTCGCTACTGGCATGAACGTTTTTGGGTTTTAGTCGACGCTGAAATACTTTCGCACGATAACATCAATTTAGTATTCGACGGATTGGACACGTTTTCAACTATTCTTGTAAACAATATTAAGATTGGAATAAGCCAGAACATGTTTGTCAGATACGTTTTTGATGTTACACCCTATCTTCAGTTGGGAATTAACGTTCTTACAGTACAGTTTAAATCGCCGGTGATAAAAGCGAAGGAACTATTTAAGAAGCAATCCTCGGAGTACATTGTGCCCCCTTTGTGCGTTCCTCCAGAATATAATGGCGAATGTCATGTTAATCACATCAGAAAAATGCAGGCATCGTTTGGTTGGGACTGGGGTCCAGCCTTTCCTTCTATGGGAATCTGGTAACCTCTGCACATCGTGGTATAGTGATTCAATTTCCAATCTTGTAGGAAGGACATTACTTTACAGGCTTATAATTCTACGATACTGGTAGATGTAACTTCCAGTATTACGTCAAACGATTTGGAGAACGTGTGGAACTTGCAACTTAATACTTACTTTGAAGGAAATAAACACGGGGAAATCGTGGGAGAAATGCACGTTACGATTTCAACAGCTATGGGAAATGTTACAGAAATGGTTAACATTAATGTACACAGAAATAATGATGGAGAATTCTTATGGACTATTAACATGACAATTTCAAAGGTAAGTAATACTTACTGGAAACAATGAGGTCACATCGAATGATGCTAAAAGCTCACCTTCAGACAGCTCAATATCTTTGATTGCCCACTAGGGTTTAATGTTTGAGAAACTCAAAAATTGCAAATTTATTTTATTTTCAGACATATGTCAACTTATGGTGGCCAAATGGCTATGGAAGACCATCACTTTCCACAGTGGGAATAACTTTTATTAGTGCAGATCATCAGGAAAGAAGTGAACGCATAATAAAAATTGGTTTTCGCACAGTGGAACTAGTCCAAAATAAAATAGGTAGGTAGGTACCTATCATTACTTTTTTGGATCTCAACATACCTAATTGGTATAAAATGGGTAATTAATTTTGAGACCCATCTATTTGTTTTTCTAATAGTAACGTAATAATAGTGGAAATCAAGTTCCCAATGAGTAGGTATATACTTGATCCAGAATGGGACGGGAAAAGACAATGTGCAATATTCGCTAGTAATGAAAGCGATATCTTTTACACGTTACTTCGATCATCCCACATTGAAGTGTAAAGATAAACGTAATTATACAACAAATCATGACTTACCACAGTACCAAACAGGGATAGTACCTACTCTCCCCCCACCAACTCTTAAAACGCAAAAGTGTATAATAGTTATTTACATAGTCCGGAAAATGACCCATTACTGGCGAGTATTGAAGAGCGAAGCCCCTTTGGAACCGAGTACTTTAATTGACGAGTCAGGTAATGTGTCATTTTACTGACGAGTTTTGTATTCAATTATACCCCAAATCGTATTTTAATATAAAATTTCAATTTTTATAAAGAGCTTTGATTAATGTCAATCCGTCAGTGATGGCAGGAGAATTTGGCCTATTATATAATATCCTTGAATTTGGCCTGCAGAATCCATAATTTCAAACAGTTCCAAGATTGGGCTACTAGATCAAAAGTTACAGCCCTTTGAATTTTCTTTCGAAATTGGTCTATAACTTTTGAATGAGAAGTCTAATCGAAAAAGTACGAATTGCTTTGGATTCTACGCCCCAAAATTAATAAGAAAAATTGTTTTCCCGAGAAATTTTGGTGTCGTCCATTTTTGGTAAAAAAGGAAGGTATTACACTGCCATTTTTTGAGGCTCGAAGAGAAAATTGTCTCAGATCGACCCAAAAAAAAAATTTTTCTTATAGAATGGGGCCTGTAGAATCCATAAGTTCTAACAGTTCCAAGATTGGGCCACTAGATCAAAAGTTACAGCCCTTTGAATTTTCTTTCGAAATTGGTCTATAACTTTTGAATGAGAAGTCTAATCGAAAAAGAACGAATTGCTTTGGATTCTACGCCCCAAAATTAATAAGAAAAATTGTTTTCCCGAGAAATTTTGGTGTCGTCCATTTTTGGTAAAAAAGGAAGGTATTACACTGCCATTTTTTGAGGCTCGAAGAGAAAATTGTCTCAGATCGACCCAAAAAAAAAATTTTTCTTATAGAATGGGGCCTGTAGAATCCATAATTTCAAACAGTTCCAAGATTGGGCCTACTAGTTCAAAAGTTACAGCCCTTTGAATTTTCTTTCGAAATTGGTTTCTAGTCTAACTTTTGAATGAGAAGTCTAATCGAAAAAGTGCGAATTGTTTTGGATTCTACGCCCAAAAATTAATAAGAAAAAGTGTTTTTCCGAGAAATTTTGGTGTAGTCGATTTTTGGTAAAAAAGGAAGGTAAAACACTGCCTTTTTTTGAGGCTCGAAGATAAAATTGTCTCAGATCGACCCGGAAAAAAAATTTTTCTTATAGAATGGGGCCTGTAGAATCCATAATTTCAAACAGTTCCAAGATTGGGCTACTAGTTCAAAAGTTACAGCCCTTTGAATTTTCTTTCGAAATTGGTTTCTAGTCTATAACTTTTGATTGAGAAGTCTAATCGAAAAAGTACGAATTGTTTTGGATTCTACGCACCAAAATTAATAAGAAAAAGTGTTTTCCCGAGAAATTTTGGTGTAGTCGATTTTTGGTAAAAAAGGAAGGTTATACACTGCCTTTTTTTGAGCCCCGAAAAAAAAATTGTCTCAGATCGACCCGGAAAAAAAATTTTCTTATAGAATGTGGCCTGTAGAATCCATAATTTCAAACAGTTCCAAGATTGGGCTACTAGTTCAAAAGTTACAGCCCTTTGAATTTTCTTTCGAAATTGGTTTCTAGTCTATAACTTTTGAATGAGAAGTCTAATCGAAAAAGTACGAATTGTTTTGGATTCTACGCCCCAAAATTAATAAGAAAAGTGTTTTCCCGAGAAATTTTGGTGTAGTCGATTTTTGGTAAAAAAGGAAGGTTGTACACTGCCTTTTTTTGAGGCCCGAAGAAAATTGTCTCAGATCGACCCGGAAAAAAATTTTTCTTATAGAATGGGGCCTGTAGAATCCATAATTTCAAACAGTTCCAAGATTGGGCCTACTAGTTCAAAAGTTACAGCCCTTTGAATTTTCTTTCGAAATTGGTTCTAGTCCATAACTTTTGAATGAGAAGTCTAATCGAAAAAGTACGAATTGTTTTGGATTCTACGCCCAAAATTAATAAGAAAAAGTGTTTTCCCGAGAAATTTTGGTGTAGTCGATTTTTGGTAAAAAAGGAAGGTATACACTGCCTTTTTTTGAGGCTCGAAGAAAAAATTGTCTCAGATCGACCCGGAAAAAAATTTTTTCTTATAGAATGGGCCTGTAGAATCCATAATTTCAAACAGTTCCAAGATTGGGCTACTAGTTCAAAAGTTACAGCCCTTTGAATTTTCTTTCGAAATTGGTTTCTAGTCTATAACTTTTGATTGAGAAGTCTAATCGAAAAAGTACGAATTGTTTTGGATTCTACGCACCCAAAATTAATAAGAAAAAGTGTTTTCCCGAGAAATTTTGGTGTAGTCGATTTTTGGTAAAAAAGGAAGGTTATACACTGCCTTTTTTTGAGGCTCGAAGAAAAAATTGTCTCAGATCGACCCGGAAAAAAAATTTTCTTATAGAATGTGGCCTGTAGAATCCATAATTTCAAACAGTTCCAAGATTGGGCTACTAGTTCAAAAGTTACAGCCCTTTGAATTTTCTTTCGAAATTGGTTTCTATAACTTTGATTGAGAAGTCTGATCGAAAAAGTACGAATTGTTTTGGATTCTACGCACCAAAATTAATAAGAAAAAGTGTTTTTCCGAGAAATTTTGGTGCAGTCGATTTTTGGTAAAAAAGGAAGGTTATACACTGCCTTTTTTTGAGCCCCGAAAAAAAATTGTCTCAGATCGACCCGGAAAAAAAATGTTCTTATAGAATGTGGCCTGTAGAATCCATAATTTCAAACAGTTCCAAGATTGGGCTACTAGTTCAAAAGTTACAGCGCTTTGAATTTTTTTTCGAAATTGGTTTCTAGTCAATAACTTTTGATTGAGAAGTCTGATCGAAAAAGTACGAATTGTTTTGGATTCTACGCACCAAAATTAATAAGAAAACGTGTTTTCCCGAGAAATTTTGGTGCAGTCGATTTTTGGTAAAAAAGGAAGGTTATACACTGCCTTTTTTTGAGCCCCGAAAAGAAAATTGTCTCAGATCGACCCGGAAAAAAATTTTCTTATAGAATGTGGCCTGTAGAATCCATAATTTCAAACAGTTCCAAGATTGGGCTACTAGTACAAAAGTTACAGCCCTTTGAATTTTTTTTCGAAATTGGTTTCTAGTCTAACTTTTGATTGAGAAGTCTGATCGAAAAAGTACGAATTGTTTTGGATTCTACGCACCAAAATTAATAAGAAAAAGTGTTTTCCCGAGAAATTTTTGTGTAGTCGATTTCTGGTAAAAAAGGAAGGTTATACACTGCCTTTTTTTGAGGCCCGCAAAAAAAATTGTCTCAGATCGACCCGGAAAAAAATTTTCTTATAGAATGCGGCCTGTAGAATCCATAATTTCAAACAGTTCCAAGATTGGGCTACTAGTTCAAAAGTTACAGCCCTTTGAATTTTCTTTCGAAAATGGTTTCTAGTCTATAACTTTTGATTGAGAAGTCTGATCGAAAAAGTACGAATTGTTTTGGATTCTACGCACCAAAATTAATAAGAAAAAGTGTTTTCCCGAGAAATTTTGATGTAATCGATTTTTGGTAAAAAAAGGAAGCCTTTTTTTGAGGCTCGAAGAGAAAATTCTCTCAGATCGACCCGGAAAAAAATTTTTCTGATAGAATGGGGCCTGTAGAATCCATAATTTCAAACAGTTCCAAGATTGGGCTACTAGTTCAAAAGTTACAGCCCTTTGAAAAAAATGTTGTCTGGGATCGACCGGGAAAGAATGTAGAGTTCATAATTTCAAACAGTTCAAGGAGGTTCCTGCAGGCATATCGTTTTAATAAAATAATAATAATAACAATTTATGTAGAGTTGCGGATGTTATACCTATTATTGAAAGAATGGTTACTTTAAAATACATTATTTTTTATTACAGAATAAAATCCATGTTTGGTTAAATATTGCTAAATATTCGACTTCGATTAAACGTTATCAGTATAGAAAGAAAATTGCTCACAGTATGTGAATGAATGAAACTCTCAGTTTTGTTTGATATATAATGTGAGTATAATATAGATATGAGTATTTACATACAGTGAGTATTTTAACACAAACGATGTATTGCCGACTCAGAAGGCAAAAGAACACCACCTTAAAAAACTGACTGTATATACAAAAATCAGTGATTAACATAGCTACGCTGTATATATGTATATATAGAAACAATGAGAGTTAAGTACAGACTAGACGTTGATGCACCGCATCGTAAACTAACAGCAGTCCATTAAATGGGAGCTAAATACTACAACTGTATTTACATTTACAATAATACTCTTAATAGTACTTGACAAATCCGAGAAAAAGGTTTCCAAATTGAAATATATGATATTATACAAAGACCAAATATTTATAAAAATGTAAATACACAATACTGCTAATATTACGAGAAAGAGAAGCAAACATACAAAACACAGTAAGAATGAACTCAAAATCTATTATTGATAAAAATTATACAAACCACTTCATGTAAAATACCTCACATTATATGAATGCATAGTACGAAGTTCCGATTGGTCGTTATAACGATAGGAAAAATTTGCCTATTGATGATATTTGCAGTTAATATTTCAGTCTTTAAATGCTCACAACGTGTTAGTAAAGGAATGTAGCACGAATGGAATTTTGCATTCAATAATGTGAAGTACCGTGAGAATTTGTCGAAATATTTTGAGAAGGTACCATTCTAAGCGTCACATTAAACTACTTTGAAACTTAACTACAATGCAATAAAATTTTCAGATCTACCTCTCCCATTATGCACCATTTTAATCCAGATTCGAATTTTGATTAAATTGATTAATAACTAATGCGTAGCGGGAAAGTTACATTTCGAATCACATATAACAGTAACAACTTAGTAACATTAAAATCTTTCATAACACAACTTTGTACTTGGAAGTGATTTGCTTTTCTATCCGAAACAAGAAACACATACACATATCCGAAATAAACAGTCTATTCACACAGATTCATGATATTTGTGACTTTCGACAATTGCACAGCCATTTAATAATCCGAGCATTACGTTCTACAATGGAAGGGGGTTCACTAGGTCTATAAGACGAAGGACAATACTCATTGTTATCGATCGGTCTACACGAATCGATCGTAGATACGTCCGAGAAAAACACGGGGCTCGACGATCTACTATTACTTAACATATCTTCGTAGCTATCACTTGTAAGGCCTAACTGTTCGAAAAATTGCTCCAGATGACTGATCGGAGGATCGGAGGGCCGCCAATAGCGATCGCTAATGTCCGATTTTGAACGCAAAATCGGCCGATCCTTCTTGTATCGTAGACATTTTTGCCGCTTAAACGTCGAAATTGGTGTGTAGCCTTGGCGCGTTAATCGACAATCCGGATCTTGGCAACAATAATACGAGCTACCGCCGCTGTGTTGAGTACTGGAGCCCGAGTCTCGACGAGTGTCCTAAATAAACACATTAATAGATTTACAAATAAAATGTCTGGAACTCCCACCAAGCCAAAATTTCTAATTAAAGACTAATTGTCACAGGCAACAAAGAATTTTTACCCAACTCCACTGCCATAAGCCAAAAATGCAATGGTTATTTCGGGAGAAATTTTCTAAAATTCTAAGACAAATGGTATCTTAAGACTGGCATTTGAATCAAAGTCCTATGGTTATCACTAGTTACCAAATTTGAGTTTTGGTTCTTGAACCTGAACGTTCCATTCAAAATTGAAAAAACTGCTGTTGTGCAGCACGTAAGGTCAGTAATGCCAGATTTAAATACTATAGATATATCATGGTTGGTTTGTCTGTACTTTCTTTGGATTTAAGCGTCTGGCGAGTTAAATCTAAACTATTTAAGATTCTCACCAAATCTTTATTTTACAGAAACCGATAAGTATGCACAGTGTTTCATCAGATGTACTTAGCTTTCATATGTATCTATCTTGTAACGGTTCATATATTATGTGATAGTAATATGACAACGTAGCAGGGTAACCTCTTCTTATTCTGATATGAAGGTGACAGTCTCCACCCGCGAGACGAAGCCGCTGAGCGTACGACTGTGTCGTCGGTTAGTCGCCGCTGCACTGCGTCCCGCAGCGCTGCTAAGTCGCCTAGTGTGAAGGGGCACTAAGATCTTGGAAATAATACAGGTCAAGTCCGTCCGAGCTAGCGAGAGCGGACAGCGATCCGCAATGCTGCTAAGCCACAAAGAGCTGGAGGGTAAAATTGACAGAATATAGCCGGTATGGGTGTCGCCCATAAGAAATACGAAAGTTGATGTGATTTACTCAAAACCCACAAGTCATAAAAATTTTATATTAGTACTATCAGCAAGCTGAGAAAAAATCACTAAGAGTTTGTTAAAAAGATTTTTTGATATCTTTGAAAATAAATGAACGCCAGCTCATTTTAGAAAATGACATTTTTCTGTTTTTTGGCCATAACTTTGCTATTTGCAGAGCTACAAGAAATTATGAATAGAATAATTAACCAGCCTAAAATTCTGCATAACTTTGTCCATTTAATCGACTTTGTACCTATTACGGTTTATTATTATTATTATTATCCCTCTCTTGTTTTGGACCCGCATAATGCGATTTAGAGGTGCCTCTACAGAAGGTCTTAAGTTGGTCTATACTACTCCGGTATTTACCTTACGAATTAGGAAAACTGCAGGAAATGCTCGGAACTGGTCTAAGGTAATTTCCATCTCCGCCACAGATGAAAAATTCACCTCAACCCAGGTTCGAACACTCGACCTCCGGATTTATAACCCAATGCTCTACCACTGAGCCATAAATCCGGTTTACGAGATTCCTATAATGGAAGTGAAAAAAAAACACCCTGTACACAAAATTTCATGCAATTCGGTTCATAACTAACGGAGATGTCAAAAAGACCTTCTTTATTTTTTAGCTTACATTGCCAATTCACGAACTAGGATCTACAAATTTGATAAAGAATCCACTTGCAAAATTTCATCATAATTGGTCCTTCTGCCGTGTTTTAGTGCTCTATGAACACGCGTTTGGTAACAGGGGGTCACTTAGCCGTTGTCAAAAATTTGGTTTTGAATTTGCACTTTGGCCAGCATTTCCGCAATTTCCAAATGTACCGCTTCATAGGGAACGTGAACAAAAGTATTCAAGAAAGCGAACGCGGTTGCCACTATGTCAGTAAAAAGAATGCAAAACAATTGTTAACATATACAGGGTGTTGCATTAAAAAATACTAACTTTAGGTTAAATCTCAGAAAGTTACAAACATATAAAGTATGCAGTTTTTACTTTTCTATCTTACATGGGTAGTAAGATAACCTAAAAATCAAACTTTTCGTTTTCGCCCTGTATCTCAGAAACAAACGTCGCTAGATTGATTGTTTGGGGTATTAAACATTTCAAAAAAAACCGCCAACCTGGAAGCTCCTTCCAATAGACGTTCCCGTGTCCAAACAAATGTAGCACTAAGCGCTTTGCCGAAGAACGCAGTCCGCAGATATCGTCACTAATGTGTACATTGGTAAATACTGTACATATGTTATTTTGTTACATTCTTAGTAAACAAAAAAAAACGCATAAAAACACCAAATATTGTATTATTGTTCTCGTTCTACAAAATAAATTTGTTTACGAATGTCAAACATAATATATACCGTTGTCATGTAGACGTTCTGTTGGTCCCAGCACCCTGCAGTAACGATGGGAATGTGAAATTCATTTATTGTTAACGTTAAATGTTGGTTGGAATTTGTGAGCCCAAATTATGACCCAGAGTTCCCAATAAATTTTTCTATTTCGAACCCCAAATTACATCAGGTGTTAATTAAAAATTTGATAATTAATTCTTTGGAATTTTTTCAAATTAATAACATTTACACCAATATCGAGATTTTCGTGGTAGTGGAGGCTGCATGTACCCTAAAAAATTATAATTATTTCTCTTAAAGGCTTTATTAGTACCTGAGTTTAATTGAGGTAGATGGGTAGGTCTTGTGGGTGGCTTAGTGACTGTTTGCCATTGTACATAGAGTTTTTATTTGGCGCCCAACGTGGGGCACATAGTAATATGTATAAAGTAATAAATAAAAAACATTTATTATGCTCATACATTCTTATACAGCCAGTTAGTGTATTGTTTAGAGATTTCATAATTCCAGGCGTTCAAAAACACTCTTGGTATCCATGGAAATTTTTTCTCGTGAAAAACCATAACCCATTTTGCTCTAAAAAATTTGAACCTGGCCGCCAATCATAGGTAGTTAAAATTTTGGTCCGACCTTATGATACTTTTTCAAGATTTGTTCAATAGATCTTAATAATTAAAGCAATAAGAGAGAGACCCAAGCGGTGGTCTGTAATACCGAAGTGGACAGATTACTGTATAATTTCATATGGCACAAATCTTTGTGCTTTTAATGGTTTGCCATATTCACAGACCTGTAGAAGTATAGTGTGCAAGGGCCATTCATTTGGCTTTACCTTGTGTGGTGCTAATCAAGCTAATGATCTGCGGGGGTTGCTTTTCTCAAATATATTGTTTCTTCTTGTACCTACGAGGGGCTAACTAGTGTCCTAAAGGTAGGCACAAAAAAAAAACTTTGGCTTGTGGTACCAGGGCGAAAGTTACAATGGTGACTAACCTGTCTAGGCGGAGGAGCCGGTTCGCTTCTCTGCGTATAATGACCACTGGACCCTCCGCTGTCTCGATTGGAAAGGCTTTTATTGCTACTCTTATTCGAACTAGGCTCCGCTCTACAGTGCAGATCTGGTAAACTTTTATGACAACGTTGCGCATATTCAGCGGGTGGACTAAGAGGTGCCATATGTTCTACGCTTAATTCTTCGGCGCTATCACAATCTAAAAGTTGCCTTAACTTATTTTGTAACAAATCACTACTAGCGGTATATACTGAGCGACGATGAGATAGTGGTGGTAACGATCTTGACGGCGATACTGCCATGTCTATAATTGTTTTCAATATTTTTTGGTTAAACGTGCACCAAGTGGTACTTACATTGTGGAAGAGTCGTCGGTCTATAGCTACTTGTCGACGCGGCGACATTTACAGACTTGCTGCGCATGTAGCTTGCGTGGCCGATGGCGAACATCGGTGGCGGTCGAGCGGGTTGCGCCTGCGTGGTATCGCGCACCACCTCAGATTTGACGTAGAAAAGTTTGCTTTCGGCTAGCAACTCGACGGCAGACTTGCGTTTCGAACGCATGCTCTGCGATTTCGTCAAAGTCGGATACATCATGGTAGTCATAGCTGAATATGTTTATAAAGGCAGTGTTTTAGATCAATATATTGTGCATTTTTCCTTAATTGAGATCGTCTTCCTTATTATTTATTATCTCTAAAGCCTACAAATAGGTACACTAAAAAAATCAATACAGTCTTAATTGTAGAATTGTTTGGATAAAACATCAACAAAGATATTTTTCTTGCTATCGACTTACGTATTGGGAGAATTATAGTACTTCATTGTTGATGGTTTCTTGAGTTGTTAGTGTTTATCTATCACATATTATTTTACTTGTGATTGTTATAAAAGCAATTTTAAATATCGTACTACTGACCGAGTGCCAGTAGCCATTTCGCATCACAGCTGATTGCGTGTCAATTCTTGCGCAATGCGCATGCTCCATCACCATCAAAACAACATCCCCATTCGCTACATGTTATTTTATCACCGTTACCTGTTATCGTTATAGTATCACCGTTACTAAATTGCCGCCAAAATTCTGTGCGGTTTTCTAAAGGAAAACCTCAAATCAAATTTCGTTTATACTAATTACTTAGTTGACCTCAATGCGTTACTAGAAAATTGCGAGGATGAAGATAAATTGCTTGAGGTAATAATATATTGGGATCAGACTCAAATATTGATAAATTTAAAATTTTTAAAGGCTTGAAACTCTTGAGGATTCTCAAATACCCTTGAAGTCAATTCAAAACTCTTAAAAACCCACACAGAAAGAAGAGAGGCCTCAATAAACGTTTCTGAATAAACTGTGATTCTTATAAAAGAGCCATAAAAGTTTATTTAGGACTTTTGGAACTTTAGTGTTAAGGTTTCTTAAGAGTCCTTTGAAGACTCATAGGTATATAAACATTCTTCAAAATGTCCAAAGAGTTTTAAAAACAGTTAAGATACATTTATACCGCACCTTAGGAAGCCCTTATAGTAACACTTTAGGAGACCCTTCAAACTCGTAACAGCAATAAAGGCTCTTCGAGATTCGAGAGTTCTATATTATTTCATTCCTTATATTGATGTTTCAGCAATAGAACACACAGCACTTTAGGTCATAGAATCTTTGAAAGTACACGCAATATCTATAGATCTTGAAGGGCTTCTAATAAATTTTTTCAAACGTTAAATTCTCCAAAGGAACATCTAAGAGTTTTACAAGACTCTTCCAAATATTTTCACAGCCATGAATTTTTAAAAGCCTTTAGGGGCTATATCGACAATTCTGCATTGTTCCGGTGTTGCACCAGGAGGTGGACATCACTGAGCTTCAATCTATGTGCATTATGTCTGCATTGAATGCAGTCGTTGACGGAGATGGTGAGGGGGCTCTTCCCTCGGGGCCGGCAGGGTTCCGCTGGTATGCGCAGGGTGCCATATTATGACCGAATGCGAGGACCAGTGGACCTTGGACTGGTTGAATAGGCCCTATGATCGTGCAAACGCACGTCCCTATGGTAACCTAAGTTGATGGCTTTGTTATACAGGCTTCCGGATGACACGGTCACCATCTTGAAGCGCCTCGTCCAGTTGCAAAATCCTGGTTTCAGAGACGTTTTTCCACAGGGAGAAGGAATGGACGATGTAACCTTCTTACAGAGCAATTTGCAGCACAGTAAAGGGGTGACCTGTTTAAAAGAAGGTCAACTTGCTGTAAAGCAGATACGGGTATGCCTAGCCCATGCATATATAGAAGAACCATGGAAGTACAGGGAACATGTAAGAGGTCTCTGGGCCAGGTGGAGGATTATTGTCTTTATTATAAGAGGGACAGCCAATCCTAGGACTTAGTATTTATGCCGGTAAAAGAAAGAAAAGGTCAACGTGTTTCATTCCTCTGAGGTACGATGTTCTCCGGGTTGGTCTATTCGCCATCAATATACCGAGCGCAAAGCGATGAAACGCCACCTGGGCGCTTCCCCTCCGAGACACACCACGAACCCTAAATGAGCTTTGTTGTCCTTCTCTCTACAGTCGGTGCAAGAGTCGGTGTCCCTCGCTTGTGTCTGTGTAGGTATATACGGACCCACTCCTCCATCACAAGTGAGAACCTGTGTGAAGTCTATCTCACCGTGCCTCCTTCGCACCTCTGGTCTCAAATTTTTCACAAGAATTTTTGTCCAAGAAGACTTCTTGTGCTCCATTCCTTTTGCCAGCCTGACTCTTCTGCTTGTCCTTTTCTCTTCAATCATGTCCCTCATTGGAGGGGTGTGAGCTGCCGCCACCGGCACGGAAATCTTCTCTGGAATCTGTCGAGGCTCTCCGGTTAACGTCTATAACTGGTGGCGGCCCAACAGATATCATATCCATACACAGACTCACGTTCACCGCTGCAGCTGTAAACATAATCTTGTCAGACTCTGACATGTCTCTTAACAACACACTTTTCAGGCTCTGGGTACTACGGTAACTTCGGACCCGCCAAAAGCAAGCTACCCGGGTCGGTGCATGCCCAATAATCGACTGGAAAGTAGCTGCCCGGATAGTTACTGATGAGGGATCTCTGAAGGGGCGGTCAACACCCACGCGTTTTATAGTGGAAGACCGGGCGGGATACACCCGGTTCTTCTGAAGACGGGCCTGGAACATTTGTTGCACCTCTTTAGAGCCTCCCCTGGTTTTAGGGTAAAATGTATGCCATACGCAGAGCAACATCACAGAAATTAATCTCTGGCAACATATAAAACGCGCACTGGATCTATGAACCACGCCAACTTTGGCCATGGAAGCACTTCCATACGACTAAACGATTGGAACGAGAGAAACGATCCAGGCAGACTTGGGCATAGATGGATCTGGGAGGAAACCCTCAGGTCCAACCCCTCTTCATAAAAAGGGATGTGATTAGGCTGTCTTACTAAGACTAAAGAGTTAGGAAGTCACTGTCCTGGACAGGGAACGGTGGCTGAACTCAGATCGTCCAGTTCTCAAAACAGAGGGGCTTGTGTGGTTCACAGACGGGTTCCTAACAGAAAGGGGAATGAGCATGGGCATGGATATATACAGGGTGTTACATGACCGCATGTAAAAAAAGATTGGGTGATATAGGGGATCAGGACAAGCACTTTTTCCAAATATACCGAGGGTCCAACGTGTTTCGTTTGGAAACCATCCCCAAAGCAGTGGTGAAATTTGGAGTAGTAAAGACGGGTGGCACGACTTTAAATAGGTTTTCGGGTATGCCCTATCTGATTTTGAAAAATTTCTTTCAAAATTCCTGCCGCAAAAGGGCGCAACGACTTATATCGTTATTTGCAACATTTTCAATTAACTACATGCGAAACTAGTAGGTAGGGGACACTTTGTAACCCGAAGGCCCAATCTTCAAATGAGTATTAACTTTTGTTTGAAGTGATTTTTAAAAACTGTCCGACAATTTTGTTCCGTAACTCATCAAGTATGCACACAACAAATTTCGTGGAATTCACTCCATTTTCGTTGCCCGGCCAAGAATTGCAGTGCAGTGGAATTTTTTTTCGAATTCTCAAAAACTAATTCCAGAGGCGTCATTTTCATGTTCAAAAACCTCCAGATACCGAATTTCGTCGAAATTATAATTTTTTTCGCACCCCCAAGTATGGTCAGCTCCTTGGCAACAGTTGTCTGGAACCGGAGAGGGTGAAGAGATGAACAGGCTCTGAACCTAGTTGCGAAAGAAAGGGTGTAGAATCCAGAAATCAATTCAAACGGTATATCAGAGGGAATTACAACAATGACAGAATTGGCCTTTCATTTTTGACTATTTAAAAGGGGAAAAAAGACTGGCTGTATGTTTTTAGAAAAAAAGGTTTTCCCAAAGAACTTACATTGATCTCATAAAGCTCCATCTTCAGTTATCACCATATTGTGAAAAACCTTGTATCCCGTTTGACTGAAACAAACTATTGTATATGAAAGGTGTATGTATATACAACGAACAGACCCACGGCATATAGACGAAGTATTAAAAAAATCCTGCTAGAAAAATTTCAATTTTTATTATAAAAATACATAAAACTGTATTCATTTAAATAAATTTGTTATTTAATAACATTTAAGGTAAGGAACGAGTAATAATAAACTTAACTTACAGAAAAACTCGAGTTTTCTAATCTACCTATCAATAAATACATGCCATTTCAGAACTAAGAGAAATGAAATCAGAATACATTTTCGACTAAATGAAATTTTTGAATAATTGCACAACAAACTAATCAGTCTCTAAACTTTCTTAACTTACAAAAAATAAAATCACAAAGGAATTGTAGTACACGCAGATCTGAATCCGATACAAGTCTTACTGTTTAGGAGGAGGATGATGGTTGGAAGTGTTGTTTACTTGAGGTTTGGGTAAGGACCGAACAGGTCCAATGGTCAAAAGTGATGATGCGCCTAACGCGTTCAAATTACAAACTGTCGAATTTCTGGCTACATTCATATTTACTACCGGAACGACAAAGTGACCGTCGGGTGTCGAGCTCGGCATGGGTATGTAATTTGATATACCTAAATTAGTTAATTTCTGTAAGATACCCGGCTGTTTCAAGTCAATGAGCGGTATTCCGATTTCGCACGGAGAACCAGTTTTATGGTAACTTTGGCGATGTTTACTTAACCCGCCCAATGTTGGATACTGCGCCGGGCAAAGGTCGCATCTAAACGGTAGGGCGGCGCCTCTACCGTTCTTTTGTGGAGAATTTGGATTTTGTTTGATCGGCGATCGAGGTGTCTCTGGAACGCTGTCGTCTGTCAAATCTACCGTCGGCAGACGACTCTCACCAGACGAGCTCTGCAAGTTGAAAACACTGTAATAATTAAATGAAAAGAAAAAGATCGCTTACTTTAGTAGGGGATGGAGGGTTTGAATTGTTTTTAGCTGTTGGTATAATACTAACTGCACTGTTTAGGTTGATAGCTACGGAAGGAGCTCCCTCCTTCGTTTGTGCGGGCTTTTCTTTCGGCTTCGCGCTCGCTGTCACCGTGATGCCGCGCGTGGCCAGTATGTTTGCGACGACCTTTGCGTCCGATTTTTTTGGACTCTGCGGTCGAGGCGGTGGATTTCGAACGGATAGTGTAATCGAATCGGACAGGTGCATCACATTGTCGGTAGGATCGGATGTACCACCCTAAAAATAATATGATTCATGTTAACTGCAGGGCGGGGAAATCTGCTATAGCAGGAAAGTGGTTTCCTTCTATATGTAGAAGTTTGTCGTTGGCCTTATATGAGAACTTCTGAATTTTTATATGGGAAACAGCTGTAAGTTAGATGAATATTTCTCTATATCCATTTCTTCACATGCAGACACATTTTTTCTGCGGGAATGGATTCCTTCAGCAACCTCCTCCTCCCCACCCTTACTTGAAGACGCCCCTCTTCAAACCTCATTTAATGAAATGCATCTTGCAGATTTCGTGCAACATAAAAAAAATTCCCATTCGCACTTTGTGGACCTCGCTGTATATGCATTATTATTGTTACTATATTGTTAGGCAAATGCCAGTTTGTTAATTTCTCGACACCCTGTACAACTTGTCCAACTAATTACATACAGGGTACAGTGTATACAGTGTCAATCATGGCGATCCCCGATACTAGGTCAAATTAGAGAAATGATGCACAGTTAATATGTTATCGTGCTTTAAAGAAAACTACAAAATTCCGATTACTTCCAAAGATATGCCAACAAAAACGAAATTTGCCCATTTCGCTTTTTTTTTGTTTTTTGAAGATACAAAAAAATTTTTAAAAAACACTACTATTTTTTGAGCTCTACAAGACGACGCTGAGCGAGTTTCAATACAACTCTTTGTTTCACAGAATTTATCACCTTTATTTTTTCATATGACCCGAAAAAAATTACACACTGGGTTGAGTAGCACTTTTTATTACGAATACAAGAATGTACGACACACAGGAAAAAACAAACTTGGAAACTGTTAGTTTCAACAGGATGGTGCACCTGCGCACAACGCCCTAAATCATGTCCTATCGGACAGTTTCCAACTTGTTTTTTGTTTGTGAATTGGTTCTCAGTCTCTTGCAAAAGCGTTTTGTCATTTGGCCAATGACATACGGGAATTTGGCCTCAAACATTTGTGACCCCAACATGCAACTATTACTGAAATGCAATGACGGCTTCGCAAAGCTTGAATTGTGTCACTAAACATTAACCAGTGAGGCTATAAAAATTAGGATCCAAAACTTTTAACTCGAACCTCAGTCTTAGTCCAAATTTGTACCATATCGTTTGTAAAACTAACTAGAAGGTAAGGAACAACTCGAAGAGTTTCACTATTTAATAAGCCCATGGAAGTAGCATTTTGTGTCACAGGTGTACTATGTGTATATAGTTTGTTGAATGCTCTGAAGAGCTTCGATATATATTTTTAAACCTAACATTGGAGCAGGTCCCAAAAACTACTTCTTCCAGAAATCATACCAAATGAGTACCAAATTTGAGCTTTATATGTCAAAACATTTTTGAGATATTGTACAAACGGATGGATGTACAGATGTTATATAAAGTAACTGCTTACAACCCTTGCTCTATCTAATAATGATACACTGTTATAAATGGAAACTGCTATGATTTTTCTGAGGCGACTTAGCCATGGTGATTTTAGGAGTATACACTATATCAGTTTCTCATAACAGAGATTCAGAAGTTCTTGTAAGTGAGAAAGTTGGGTATGAGATTACCTGCACACTTTGAATTTGGGGTAGGCCACCATCTGTGTTTTTAGGTTGCACCGCGATCACTTGACAATCTGCGTCGTCATTTTTATCAGGTACCAATACGTCAATACGTTTCTTTTTCGCCTGCAAACTTTGGATTTGCTCCGGAGTTCGCTTAATTACCCTCGGCTGCGATTGTGAGTTGCCGTTAACTTGAGTCGGAGTTGTGGGCATTCTGGGACGCGGCCCTCGCACCGGAGTGGGGACCATGCCTCCTCTAGTTCGAATCATCGGTGCTCTTTGTCTAGGTGCCATGGGGGTTCGGGGTGCGGGTCCGCGCTGCGACTGCGGATTAAATTGTCTGGGAGGGGGAGCTCGTGTTGGCATTGCTGGCCTGTATTGCGGTGCTTGGGGCGGGGGCATTGATTGTTGTGGAGGATGAGGGGGGTGGGATGGCTGTGGCATTTGTTGACTAGGTGGTTGCTGCATTGAAGGTGGCTGGGGAGGTGCTTGCATGTGGGGAGCGGGAGGAGGGTAGTTCGGTTGAGGTGGATAGTACATTGGACTTGGTCTGCAAAGAAAATTTCAATTAAAGCTTCAATTGAAATAATACCATTTATAACTTACTGATATTGATATGGGGGATATAAAGGCGGAGGTTGAGCGGGCATTCCAGGATGCGGAGGGTGCGAGTACATAGGCGGATGTTGATATGGAATCGTCTGCTGTGGCGGCGGTACCTGTGGAAACTGTTGTATGTTTATCAGAACATTCTGTTGGTGCATGCCCCCATTACTACCGGAAGGTTGTAATCGTGAGACCTGTTCGGCTAACTGTTGCATAGGCAAACCAGCCAAACTGTCCAGAGAGCTGTTGTTCGAAATAGCAGACGATGTCGATGGATTATACACTTGCTAAAAACAGAATATTAAATTTCATTCGCCTACAAATAGATTAACAGTACCAAGGCATTTCGGTTGCGGTCATCTAAACGGTCCAAAGATATAAACTCGCTGTCAGTCGTAATACCAAAGGCTTTCGCCTGATCGTTGTTGTTATTTAAAAAGCTAGACAACAAATTACTATCGTCTCTATCGCTATCTGGGAGCTTCAATGGATCTTCTAGGCACGACGTCCAAAAGTTTGTATTTTCTGAAGTCTTCTCATTGTTGTTTGATATGTCCACAATTTCTAAAATAATGATTTTACCTGTAGAGGCCATTCTGATTGTGGTACAACATACTCATCACACCAGGTACGACCTTAGGTTTTTGCTCTAGTTTTTATTTAGGAACTAAAAAATGTTGACCGAAAAAAACCAAAAACAACATCTATTGCCAACTATAAATGGATTAGCAACCAAACCAAACTGTTGTTTGATCATCAGTGGCGTGCATGCGGTATTTTTTTAATACATATTTGACATTTGTTGATATTCTCTAATATTCTATGGTAATGGTGGTCTCTTGCAATTTTTAGTATTGATTTATGATTGATATTGAAATTATGGACGAGTGGTTGAGGAGTTCGGGAGTACTTACTACGAACTTTAGGCGTCAAGGGCGCCACAAAGTTTTTTCTGTTTGGTAAACTATTTAGAAACCAAAGAATAATGGAAGAAAACGTTGGTCTCTAGTTTCTGGCATTCGGAGCCGCACAGGAAGAGGGAGCGGGAGGGGGGGGGGCAGGATCGCAGTACAAAACTTACAAATGAAGAATGCTGGTCAATGTGTTTTGGTTGCGAGCTGTCTCCAAAAGTACCAAGATTATCTGGAAACCCTTGCAATACCTTATGCACTTTGAAGACTATTAAATATCAGTTTGAAGATTTTTTTAAAGATTCTCCAAGGAATTCTTAGACTAGATCTAAAATCTGTTTCAAGGTGCTCCGAAGTGTCTAAAGTTTCATTGGACATTTTGAAAGTTTCCCCCAAAAAATGCTTTCGACGCGTATGTATTACTCACTAATCAACACTTTAATTTTTGTAGACAGCGTCCTGGAATACTCACTAATAAATGGTGAATGTTCTAAACGCCACCTTTATAAAAACTGGGATCTCCTTTGAGTTTTAAAAATGGATAACCTTTGTTTATGAACATTCTATAATCTGCAACCGTTTTTGTTGCAATTAAGGGTTGAAACTCCCATCTCTATAACAAAATTTTGAAATTCTGAACTAAAACGGTACCAAATAAAATGAATTATTGTTTGGGTTCATTTTCACATTTTATATAAAAGAAAAAAGCATCAACCCTTGAATTTGGAAACTCGTCGATAATGAATTCTTCAGAGTAATGGATATTACTTCAAAGGGAATTTTTCCCTTGATTACAATGGGCTCGATTTCGGTCTTTCGTTCTTTTTACTGGTAAAATGGATAATAGTAATCCTTTGTGTATCATTTTAAAATGACACTCCTCAGGTTAATATCACGACGTAAAATTATACACTATAACTTAACTTTTCTTGAACTGCCATTGTTTAGAACCTAAACAACTAATTAAAATTTGACACCCAAAATCAAATTTTCATTTTTTAAGTGATCTGCGACCTCTCCTCGCTTGCTGAGATTTCATTTTCAAGCTGAATGATTCTCTCTTTCATTATTGCGAACACCTACAAATGACGATTTTTTAAATGGCGATGTCTAAATATTTTATTGGTTAGTGTCTTCTTTACTACCAATCCCAAACGGTTTTTGGCCTTCCCACTGAATTCAAAACTCCACGCTCAGCAATTTCCACGTTGAACTTTATCTCATGATGAGTTTACTAATCCAATAAGTACTACTATCATTCGTTACGGAATTCGTTTATGGGGACCATCCCCTTATTCTCGTTGCGTCTTTCTCTCTCAAAAGAGAATTATCCGAACACTTGCAAATATTCGCAAATTTGATTCTTGTCGAGGATTCTTCAGAAAACATAAAATTCTCACTCTAACGGGACTGTATATATTTGAAATCTGTCAATATATTTATGTCAACTCTAACAAGATGGTTAAAAGTAAGGATATACATCAATACAATATCCGAGGTAATGATAATCTTCGACCACATTTCACTAAGACAAAAATTGGAATCAATTCACCCTCCAATCTGGGAATTAAGATCTATAACCATTTACCTCACATAATACGTAACTGTAGGCAATTATCAATCTTTAAAGAAAAATTATTTTTGTTTCTAGTTGACAAATGTCATTATGATGTAAGTGAATATTTTACTGGTTAATGTAACTTGTTTGTCGCTATTTAATGTGTAATTTGTTCTTTACCTATATAATATTCAATGTAATTTCACAATTTTAAGATATTTGTTGACAACTTCCACACAAACTAGTTTGTCTATGGAATAAATATTATTATTATTATTATTATATCCGTACGAAAGCGGAATTGAGCCCTTAGAACTTAAGGCACTTAAAAAAACAAAGACGCATTGATTAATAACATGTAAAAATATCCATGTTCATGACACTACAGTCGACCAGTTTGTTTTTCACATGGGGGACCCCTTACGTATTTTCAGCCCAGTCTGCAAAGCAGATCCTACAAGCCAAGGATTCTCCTAGTACGTTTGAAATTTGAGTATACATTGACAAAGATAAAGAGACACTGAAAGATCCAACGATCTTTAAAATGTTGTGCGGTTAAAATACGCAACAAATCACAAAAAAAACGGAACTTTTTAAAGAATCTTCAGAAGACCTCCAAAACCCAACTTTCGAGAGTTGGTAACTGATAATTCCGGAGACTCCATGACCTTCAAATGCCCAGATAATCTCGAAACACAAATTAGATGTTAGTATCTCTGATCACCCTGAAAAAATACGAGGATCATTGCTGAGAAATGAAAATTGAAACTTTCCTTTGATCCTGGGGGGTATTCCACAAGAAGAACGTTTTGAGGAAAATGTAGAACCGAGGACAATACTCCCCAGTAAACGAGGATCTTTATGATCGTTGTAGAGAAATGATTTTAGAGCTGTATATTCCTAATTCGAATAAAAATATTCTCCCCTCGTCCAAGAATATCCCGATAAGGGTATGATCCAACTTTTATTTAAAAGATAGGAATTGTGCAAGGATACCTAACGGCATATATTCCAATTATAATTTCTTTAAGTGTTATCAGTAACAATATATAATGTCCTTTATGTATGTTTAATAGGGAATATTCCTGCCTGGATATTCTCCGAAATATTTCAAGATACACCACAACCATGATAAGACCTTTTCCTTACAACATAAGAATTTATATTTACTGGATTTAGTTACGAAAATATTTACTATTCAAATTTTACAATATTCTTTTAGAGGCATTTATTTTAACAGCAACATTTTATTATGATGACCCGTTAATCCGTTAAAAACTTACTCAAAAAAATTTGAAATCAAAGATCAACATTTTTTACTTCCAAAAATATGTTTTTCACTTACCAGAAGGTCGGTATTCGCCATTGGGATTGTCGTCAGTTATTTCGGTGATGGTCAGCGGTTCTTTGAGCAGGCCCGTTTTTATACGTATCTTCGGATATTCGGTGGGAGAGGGCGACTCGTTGGGCGGTTTCTGTTCGTCTTCGGCCTCGGTGATGATAGGCGTCGGCGTCAAATCCATGTCGTGCGCCTCGCTACTAACCGGCGGCGAACCGCTATCCATGATGTCCGCGGCGAAATTCGGCGAGAAGCTGATTTTCACCGCCTCGTCCAAATTCGCGCTTTCGAGCATTTCGTCGAGCATCTCGTTGTGTTCCTCCAGGTTTTCCGCACTGAACGTGCCCGAATCTTCGGTGTTTTGTTCCGAGTTATCTGTACCCGTACTTATCTGGCTCTCTTCGGCCAAATATTCCGAGTTGAACAGATAACTCGGCGTTTCCGTTGGGGAATTAATGATTTCGAAATTATTATTCTTCTTAGATTTTATGGTAATCTTTATCGGCGCTGGTGATAGTTTCGAAAGGAGCACCGTCGGCTGTCTGATGTGATGGATCAGATGTCTGAGCAGGTAATGTTCGCTAGTAAAGTTTACATTACAATCGTAGCATCGCAGGGAATTTGGAACGTCTGGAGGCAAATTCAGGCGAACATTGTCCCTCAGTGGAGTGCACATGGCGCGTCCTAAAATTAAAAGAAATATCAATTAGGTACGATATTACTCAATAAAATGGTTGCCTACCACAAAAATCTCTGATCAAATGACTTTGGATTTAAAGGAAAAACTAGAACAGTGCCAGTCATAAAAAATGAACAACGCTCTGTCATCGTATAAATTTACTTGTTCATCGGCCAACTAGATATGTTCAACTATTTTTCATACGACTACTTATTATTGCAAACCTCAAAAGAGAAAGGTATATGTCTTGATTAATGTAAGCAGAAAACTATGGAATACATACCAGATTGTTTGAGTGCAAATTGAATTACTTCCATGCCTAAGCTAATAATTATGTTGATGGAAAAATCAAATAAGCAATGTTATAGTAAATTGATAACAGGTAGTGAAAACTGTCGTTAAATACATTACAACTGTTTACCAAGACCAAAACTATCATCAGGTTATGGGCCCAGTATTATCGTTGTGAACGATCGTCAAGGACAAGGAAAACTCGACACTGTTCCTGAATCGGGTTTTGGACAGAAAAAAACGGCGAATACATGCTTGGGAGGAAGCAACTAAGGAAAATCGAACGTTGGATAATCTTAAGGAGGTGTTGTTGGGCAGCGGCAGAATGATAGAAGCTTTTCAAGTAGTTTTACTGAGAATGCTGCCTATTTTTCCACCTCAACAAACCCAAGTAGGAAAATGGTCACGGTAATGGCAGTGAGAGTTGCGACAAGTCAAAGAAGTTTGTCCCAAAATGTTACAAATGTGGTGAGTTGGGCCACTATAAGTGAGACTGTAACAATTCCAAGAAGTACAAGCCAGAGAAGACTCAGGAAGGGTCTGCGTTTGTTAGCCAATCGGATATCGTCAAATATGTGGATTCCCCCAAAGTTTTGATTGCAGATTCCGGTGCAACGCGGTTTTCCACTTTTAAGATGTTTTGCCCATAAAACTTATCTTGAGGATGTGTGGTTCGTTCCGGAGGTGGATAAAAATTTGTATTCTATGACTTCTCCCCTGGATAAAGGGTACGTTGGTTGCTCAATGCAAGAGATCAAATGGGCTGTTCATCATGAACATAGTGATTACACACGTGACTTACAAGATTGGCATGAGAGATTAACTCATCAGAACAAATATTCTAACCTTCCTGAAAAAAAAAACGGGATCGACGTCAATGGCAACTTGAAATCAGACCTGTGTAATTGGAAAAATGCACCGTTTGAGCCTCGGAAAACGGTAGGAGGTCATAAATAGCCCGGGTAACAGGACAGGAACAGGAACGCTGATGTTTCTTCTTTGTCGTTTTCAAAGACGAGTTCAGTAGTATCGTTCAGTTTTCATATCAAAAGGAATAATCAGAAGTCAAGGACAAGTTAAAACAGGCAGCAGACTCTTGGACACGTAGTGAAAGAGCTGTTAACTGATAATGGTACTGAATTTTCGAACAAGGACGTTTAAAAGATCACAGAAGAGAACATCTATGCCATATACGCCACAAGGAAATTGCGGTGCAGAACGAGAAAATTGTACATTACTTAAAAATACCGAAAAAAATTGCATAAAAATCTCAAAATAATTCCTTGAACTATTTCTAAGCCATTTTTAAAATTTTTTCAAAATGATGCCAACATATTTTTAAAATATTTAAAAAATTATAAAAATTCCTTAAATTTAAAAATAGGATATTCATACAGATTTCGAAATTTCCAAAATATTTCTAAAATGTTTTAAAAAAATCATGTTTCAATAAAATTTCATACAGATTCCAAGAAAATTTTGAAAGTTTTCCAATATTTCAAAAATAGTTTAAAAAAATTATAAAAACGCTAAAAAAAATGATGTTAAATAAATGTTAAGAAAATGTATAAGGGATTCAAAGATTCAAAAGTTTAAAAATTTGAGTTTATGTAAAAAATTGCAAGTCTTTCAAAGATTTCAAAAAATTGTCTAACAAAGTTTTACAAAAAATCTTAAAATTTATAAGTTTTCAAAATACTTAAATATTTTTAAATATTCATTTAAAAAACTGTAAGATGATTCCAAATAACTCCACAAGTATGGTAAAATCATTGCAAAATTTTAAAGTTGCCCCCCCCCCCCACACACACACAGGCACATCAAGACATTTTTGTCAGTTTCTAAAAGTTATTTCCAAAAATATATGAGGAATTAATGAATGACTGATTCCAAAGAACTCTACAATTATGGGGAAACCATTGCAAAATTCCAAAGTTTGCCAACCCCCCCCCCCCCCCCACGTAGACATTTTCCAAAAATATATGATCGTGAAGAATGAAGCATCTCACTTATCAGGAGTCCCAAAAGATGAAGGGAAACGGAGCGACGCACACCACCCATTTTTTAACGCGACTAACTACACTTCTAAAATTGAGAATAAATTTGTATGTGATTCAAAGATGTCAAAATAATTACTTATAATACATAAACAACTCAAAACGCATAAAATTTCCTCGTCAATTCGAAAGTTTCCAAAATGATCCCATTATGTTCTTCAAGAAGATTTAAAAACAGTACTTAGGTAAATTACGAAGAAATTCATAAACAAAATAAAGGTTCCGAAAAAAAATTACATAAAAATAAGATAATTCCTGACAGCTTTCTGACAAATTTCAATGAAATTTATACAAATTCCGAAGTATCTAACTTGATCCCAACATATTTTTTAAACATTAACAAAACTATAAGAGCGCCCCAAACTTAAAAATAGTATTTTAGGTAAATGATCAAGAAACCTGTAAGTCAAGACTTCAAACATTGCAATATTGCAAAAACGTTCTTGGATATTCCAACAAAATTTCATACAGACTCCGAAGTTCCCAAATCTATTTTTAAATTATTTAAAAAATGATAAGAACGCTCCCAGTTTTAAGAAATGAAAAAATAGAACGAATAAATTCCATGCAGATTCCAAAATGATTCTATGATCTTCTTTAGAAAGACTTAAAAATAGTGTTTTAGATAAGTAAATTACGAAGACATTGGTAAATTACTTAAAAGTTCCGATAAAAATTGCATACCAGTCTCAACATAATTCCTGAAACAATTTATAAAACTTTCTTTAAAATTCCAATCAAATTTATACAAATTCCGAACATATATTTTAAATATTAAAAAAATTACAAAAACGCCTCAAATTTAGAAATAGGAAAGTAAAAAACGAAAAAGTGTTAAATAATTTAGAGAAATAAAAATCTCAAAACCCATTAAATATGTCAAAAATTCCTTGTAATATTTCTAAAAAACTCTTGGAAATTTCAATGAAATTTCGGATACAGATTCCACGAAACTTTGAAAGTCTTCAAGAGGTTTAAGAAAATTGGGAATAATTCCCAAGAACTCCATAATTATAGTGAAAGAATTGCAAAATTCCAAAGTTTTGCCCCCTCCCCCCCCCCCCCCATACCATAGATCTTTTTCTAAAACTCCGTTCCAAAAATTTATAAGGAATATAAGCCATCTCACTTATCGGGGGTACGGAAAAATTTGGGGGGGGGGGGGGCAATCATTTTTTAATGCGACTAACTACATTTCAAAAAGCACGCAAGACGCAGAAGTAATAAACCTGCATTTGTTAACTGTGACTAGATTGAGTCTAAACAATTTTGACCCAAGATGCGGATGAGAAAAATCGAGGGAAAAATTGAATAATGAGCAAGAGGCGGACAACACATTTTCCGACGACCAAAAAAAAATATTTAAACCAATTAAAGAATTCCTCGAAGCGTCGTGGTATACCAAATTTTTGTGCTTGTCAAAAAACGAAATTAGTACACCAACTAGATCAATTTTAAAATGTGAAAGAAGTTGAAGAGATAACTACAAATGCCACTTCAAAATTATGTACCTACCTAATCAAACATTTTTTGAAGTATTGTCTATGATAAGATTTCAAAATAGGAACACGAGAGTCGAGAATTACTTATCAAAAATTGTTTATCGCTTGGGTAAAGAAACTATGGATTGAATAAAAGGTAATACCGGTTTCCGAGCACAAAAAGCACACAAATGGCTTGTTTACAAGCACTAACACTTTTGAAATTTCAATAAACACGTTACTCATTAGCAAGCACACAAACAGAAAAATTTCCTATAATCTAATTCTCATTACGGTAGTCGGTAGGTATATTATAAATGAATTAAATGCGCGAGTAACAAAAGTAATAGAATGAAATTGGTATACATACCAATAACAAAATCCGCACCAAAAACAGAACTTGAAAAAATAATTCCGGTACGAACATGCGCGAAATTGTGTTTTTATAAACTAATAATAACTACAAACTAATAAATAAAGATAACGAGCGACTACGTACGTGAAGTCGAAAAGAATGACAACTGACTTGAAAGTTGACTAAACTTACTTCCGAGCATTTCATTAAAACTACTTATAAATGACTTATTTAAAAAGGACGATACGATAAGTGAAGTGTGCCATGAAAAATAAAAGAAAGTACAATTGTACTACTTACACGCATGGTAAATATTTAACGGGAAACCGATTAATTAAATGCGCACGAATTTGAAAAAGATCACGTTGGTCCGTGTCCGTGTGTATTTAAATTGTGTACGCGAGTACGTTTTTAGATTTCGTTATAGCAAAGCAAGCGACGATCCGCACTGCTTTCCGACTTTGCCCGTGGATCCAAAGGCACAAGGGAAACACGCGGGGAGCGTAGCGGGGTCGGCGGCATGATCCAATGGTCGGTCATAGTAGTGGGCTCTCAGTGGGGACGGCTGCACATGCGCCAGCCAAACCTTGAACCATTTGGTACCATGGCAATAAAAGGGGAAAACCACCGATAAGCGAAACTTATGAAACTCCTTTGTTCGGTTCAGAGCAGGCGAATGCAGGCATGAAACTTGTTTATGTTGTTGCGCCGCTCTTATGATAGTTGCGCATAAAGATAACAGTCGCAGAGCACAAACGGATTATGCTTTTTATTTACATAAACAAGCGTCACGGTTTATTTTTCCCGAAAAAAAACCTTTCACATTTTAATTGCGGCGACGACAAATTCTGAAGATTTCGAATATTTGTTCGAAACCTGCCAATTAAATTTAATTACGTCAGGTACGCGCGTTATCGCGTATCGCAACTATCTGTAATTTAAGTATCTTTCCTTTACAAGTTTTAAGTTTCGCTCAAGGATAATAAATAAGCAAACACAGATAACGGGTACAACGTATCAACGCCAATTAAACTGGATTTCCCAATCGCTCATTAGGAGCAATGGCAAACCCAGCATAATATAATGCTAATTAATTCGCCGTTTTTTACTGGAAAACCGCGCGCGCGATAATTTACATTACATTGTTTTTGTGTTGTAATTTAGAAAGTAAATTCATAAAGAGGAACACAAAACCCAACTCGGTTTGCAAATTTCTAGTTGACGCAACGAATTGAACACAAGGCCAATTTTAGACAATGCTAATTTTTCCAAAAAAGCAAGAACTTTTTTTATGAATTGAAATTTCGGATTCAACCTTAAAAATGAAACATTATCTCAGTTCTTAAAGCGTTCTGTGATTGTGTCCGTGTTCTGTCCCGAACTGGTTCTGGTCCCGAAATTTCCTGCAATACCTTCGAATGACGCATTAAAATACTTTCGCGTTGAAACCCTCACCCCACCCCGAATGAATAAGTTCCTCAGACTATTAAAAAGTCGATAATAATTAGGTACGTGCGAAAGTGAGCACTAATTTGTGCCAAATTTTGCCTCCTATTTTATTTTGTAGATGGTGAAATGGGTCTATCAGCTCTCCCCTTTCTATAAGCAATATCTGGTCATACTTCTATTTGGAGGATTCAAGACTTGTTTTCCACCGCTTTTAATAATCTGTGACTATCACGAAGGAGAGTCAAGTCAAATTTTAATTTATTTTTTATTATCTCCATTTGGGGGGGGGGGGGTTAGATATTTTATATGCTCTTTTGTTTTGAAAAATTCGAATTCATATCAAAAACTATGTATGTGCTAATAATTTTTGTTTAATTGCTTCTATGGTTACGAAGCTATGGGTATTTTAGATATTACAATAAAAAAATTCCTACAAATTAAATACAAATGTTTGTTACAACATTTTTTTATTGTAATATCTGAAATAACCATAGCTCCGTAACCATGGATGCCAATGCAATTAAACAAAAAATATTAGCATATGCATCGTTTTTTGTGTAGGTACATTCGAATTACGAAAACAAAAGAGCATCACCCTCACGCTCACCACTAAAAACTGAGAAAAGAAAAATTTAAAAAATATGTTAAAATTTACCCCCCCCCCCCCCCCATATTGTTATTCAGTCACCAAAGTTTCACAAAAATATTTAAAACTGTTTGTAACAGTTTCAAAAACTCGCCCTGTAGAAGTCAAAAAAACCAAAAACCAAGCTATTTTGATCCAAAAACACAATTAACACTCTTTTCGATTGTTCAAGCAGTAAACCATGACGACGTCTATTATCTAAAGGGTTTAGAAGTTAAGCAAAAAGATTAAAAAACTTAA